ATGCTGTAATTGTACCCACTACCGCCACTTTATTTCTGGCAGCTTATTCCATACACATCTCTCTGCATGAAAACACTGCCCCTCAAGGCCCTTTTAAATCTTTGCCCTCTCACCTTAAACCTATGCCCTCTATAGTTTTGGACTCCTCTACCCTGAGAAAAAGACCTTGGCTATTCACCCTATCCATACCCCTCATTGTTTTATAAACCTCTATAAGGTCACAGGGAGGTGATGGCTTAGTGGTATTATTGCTAGACTCTTAATCCAGAGACCCAGATAATGTTCTGGGGACTTGGGTTCGAATCACGCCACGATACATGGTGGAATTTGAATTCAATAAAAAAATCTGGAATTAAGAGTCTAATGATGACCATGAATTCATTTTCAATGTTGGAAAAACCCATCTGGTTCATGAGTGTCCATGAGGGAAGGAAACTGCCACTCTTACCTGGTCTAGCCTACATGTGACTCCAGACCCATAGCAATGTGGATGACTGTTAACTGCTCTCTGAGCAATTAGGGATGGACAATAAATGCTGGCCTAGCCAGTGACGCCCTCAAACATCATCAATTTTCATCAACAAAAAAAGCCTCTCCCTATAGCTCAAACCCTCCAATCCTTGCAATATACTTGTCTGTGCTTTTAGTGTGCCCTGCCAATGTATCGGAGATGTGCCATGATGGTCATGAGGGGTTGGCAAAAGCTGGTGTCATTGTCCTTGGACGAGGGGAATCTGTGGCTGGTGCCTGTGCCTCTGAAAGACAGTTTGATTATCCACAACACGGAGGTCCTTTGGATCAAGCAGCGAGCTGAATCAGCAGGTCACCACTCTGGGTACGTGTTGAGTTTTCTCAACATCCAGCTTGTTTGGTATATTTGGTAAGATAAGAAGATGAATATTGATGAGGCAAGTTAGCCTGTTAACAAGGTATTTAACAATTAATAATTCCCTCTTAATTGAAACTTGCTGCTGGCTAGCAAGAATTATGCCGTGCTGCTTGTCAACAGCATAAAAGACGGAGCAAGATGCTCCTGAGGTGGGCCTAGTTAGGCCATTTCTCTTTTTCTGTCACAAATCTTGCCATTGCCCACATTGTTCAGACTATAAGATTTCACCTATAGAGACAAATGTAACCATGCAATAGTAACATACTCCTGTGGGGGGAGGGTGTATAGAGTTTATCCATAGAACCCCCACAAGTGTGGAAACAGACTCTTTGGCCCATCAAGTCCACACCGACCTTCAGAGAATCCCACCCAGACCTATTTCCCAAATCCACATCTACACATCCCTGAACATTATGGGCAATTTACCATGGCCAATCCACTTAGCCAGAACACCTTTGGAGTGTGGGAGGAAACCTGAGCACTTAGAGGAAACCCACGCAGACATAGGGAGAATGTGCAAACTCCACACAGACAGCTGCCCAAGGGGAATTGAACCCAGGCCCCTGGCGGTGTGAGGCAGCAGTGCTAACCACTGAGCCACTGTGCTGCCCCAAAGGCCAAAGACGAATACTTTGGCTCCAAAGTTAGTAACCAATGCCATCCAAGACATGAGAAGGGATCAAACCCACCATTTCTGGTTTACAAAACCAACACCTTCCCACTTGGCCACCGCACCCTGAAAGGACCAAGAGAAAGATAACAAATGACATAAAGAAAATGAGGAACAGACTGGGAGTAAATTAGAGATTGATATGTCTACAATGAACTCTGAGGAAGAACATTGTAGGAAAAATTAAAAGCCTGTAAAAAAAAGACAAAAGCAAAAATTGTCATGTACTGCTTTAAATTACCAAAAAGCAAAGGAAAGCAAATATTTAATAAAAAGCAACAGACATTCTGATGCCATTGGAAATAAAACAAAACATGTCAGAAAACAGACAGCACAGACCAATAGGGGTTAAAAAATTTTCAGGCACCAGACAGAATTAACTGAATTAGAAAACCTGGGATGAGAGACAATAGTGTGAATATGACAGTTCATTCTTTGTTTTGCCAAATCAGCTTAGAATGCCTTCAATGGAAGGTAGCCAATATTCATCTGCAGATGTTCATAAGTCCCTGTAAATTAAAATCTCCTTCATATTTTGAGTAAATGAAATTCAATTATACAGGACCTGTTTTTAAAGAGCCCTTAGACAGAGCTGCCTTCCTGCTCCTCTGATGCTGCTTGGCCTGCTGTGTTCATCCAGCTCTACACTTTGTTATCTGAGGTAAAACACTGTTTTCTATCTGTTGTTCAGATTGCCTACATTAAGTTATTCAACAGTCAATGAATTGCTCGCAATCAGATCAGTTAGTGGATGCTACGGGCATGTCCATTTCCTGTGGTAAGTGAACTATCTTCTATGGGCAGTTCTGCACTGCAATCTGGTTGAGAACTGAACAGATGTTATATATGGTAGACAAACAGGAGGCTGGAAGAACACAGCAAGCCAGGAAAGAGGAAGTCAACATTTCAGGTATTACCCTTCTTCACGACTGGATAGGGGGAGCTGCCGATAAAGAGAGGGGGAGGGAGGTAGCGGAATGGTGGTGATAGACGGTATATATGAATTGATACATGACATAGAGTTATTCCATGACATAGAGTTACAATGCAGTGAGGTGAGATTGACAGCACTTGACATCAATACAGCAAGCGACCTACTGTGGCAATGAAGAGCCTGAATAAAACTGAAGTTAAAAGGAATGAGGATGGAAACGTTCCACTGTCTAGAGTCATACCTAGCAAAAAGGAGGATGATTGTTGAAGGTCAAACTTCACAGTCTTAAGAGATTAATATGAAAATTTACTTGGGATAGTGCCCTCAGCCAAAAGATCTTTAGCTATTTCATCAATAACCTCTTCTCCATCACAAGGTCAGAAGTGTGGATATTCGGAATTTTTGATTGCACAATGTTCAGTACAATTTGTGACTCCTCAGGTACTGAAACATCCCTAGCATATGCAGCAAGATTGGAAAACTGTTCAGATTCGGGATGACAGATAGATAGGTTCTTGATTGTCAAGGGGATCAAGGGTTACAGGGAGAAAGCAGCAGAATGGGGTTGAGAAACTTATTGGCAGAGCAGACTTAATAGGCAGAACAGCCTAATTTCAGCTCCAATGTCTTATGGTCTTATGGATGTGGCAAGTAACATTTGTGTCACACAAGTGCCAGGCAATATTCATCATCAAAATATGAGAATTTAACTATCACTCATGACATTCAACAGCATTAACATCGGTAAATCTCCCACTATCAACATCCTGGACGTTACCATTGACCAAAAATTGAACTGGACCAGCTGTTTAATCACTGTGGCTGCAAAGGCAGTTCAGAAGTGGGGAATTCTGCAGTGAGTGACTCATCTCCAGATTCCCCAAAACCTGTCTACAATCTACAAGGCACATGTGAAAAGTATGACTGAATATTCTCCACTTGCCTGGGTGACTGCAGCTCCAACAATATTCAAGAAGCTCAACGCTCTTCAGGACAAAACAGTCAGCTTAAGTAGCACCCATCCACTTCTTTAAATATTCACTCTTCCACCACAAAAAGTGTGTACTCAATACAAAATGTACCACAGTAACTCATTAAGCCTTCTTTGACAGCATCTTCCAAACCTACAATTTCATCCACTTAGAAGGACAAGAACAGCAAATGCATGGGAATACCACCATCTGTAAGTTACTTTCTAAGTCACAAACCATCCTGATTTTGAATTACAGCATTTTTCCTTCACTGTCACTGGAGTCAAAATCTATGAACACCCTCCTTAACTGCACTATACATGTGGCTACACCAGATGAACTGCATCAGTTCAAGAAGGCAACTCATCACGACCTTCTGAAGGTCATGTAGGGATGGACAATAAAAGTTGATCTAACAACAACTATTTCCAATGAAAGAATAAATTAAAAATAAATAATATATCAATTCAATTATGTATGCAAGACTAACAATTTAAGCTTGATGTGTTTTCAGAAAGGAAATAAGATTACTATTTTTGTATCCCATCTACTAACACTGATTTTTCATTAGACAAACTTTTCAGTTTGGAAAAATGTTTCAGTTTTGTAGAAGATAACATTTGTATTGCCTGCTTAAGTAAATTTCTATCTGTCAAGTTTTTAAATAATGACATTGTTGATTCAATGAACAAAGTAGCTCCCAGGTGCACAATGCAAGATAAATATAGGTAGCAACATACTGAAACAGAAACTCAGCAGGTCTGGCAGCATCTGTGGAGAGAAAATGAGAGTTAACGTTTCGAGTCTAGTAACTCATAGTATGGTGCTTTGAATTTTGTCCTGAAGCTACATATTGATGGCCATGCTTTAACAGACAGGTTAAAGTCTGTTCCTTATGACAACAACACAAATGGCCTTGATTTAGTTTAAAACCTTTGGCTAGAGTCAAGATCGAGTGAACTATCTTTTAAAGTGACACCAAGGGTACCAGTCAAGCTGAGAAAAGTTTTAAACGAAGATGTAATTATTTAGTGAACAAGAAACACATAATGGCCAAGTTTAATTATTTTTCTAAAAAGAGTAAAGTTCTACTAATTGATTTCTTATGGTGTTTCTAACCATGCGATCTCTGTCTCCATTAGAAATGTTTTGACCTTTCTGGCTTTGCAACTTCAATGCTGAAAACATATTCCCCAAATTGAGTGTCCATTTTAAACCAAAACTTCAATTAATAACAACACTTAACAAACATCTTTATCATTTTATACTCAGGCTACTTGTCAGTGTGCTTAGTACAGGAGTTCCATCAAGGAAGAATAAACAAGGGCAGGTCTTTTTGTGCAAAACAGCACTTCCAGCCACTCAACAAAACTGAAGTACTGATGCCATCGCAGAGAAGGATGCCTTTTGGTTTAAGAAAGCACACAGCACTCATATTAAAAAGGCAACATTCAAAACAATATAAACCTAATGTATGGAATGTTCGATACAAGCAACATTTGATGCTACAAATTATATCCAAGACTTGGTACTTACCTTTCCTTCTTCTGTTGATTATCACTTTTCAACTGTTCCATATGCTGCTTCATTGAACAAAACTCCCTTTGCAACTTCTTTTCACGTTCAACACTTTCACCGTAAAATTCCATTTCTGCTTCCATTGCTTTCAGTTTCTCTTCCATTAATTTGAATTCACGATGTATTAGATAACTAACTCCACAATATTTGCAAACTGTCTCATCCTGGCGCATCTAAAAATGAGAACAGTGGGACACGGAAACTAGAATTAATCAGAAGATTACCAAAACTAAATCATCTAAACTACATAAGAAGTAAAAACTATTTTCAGTTAGTTTATCAAAGTGTATTCTACACCAGCGCCTATTACTGCATTACAATATAAATTCTATTTTTGACTTTTCAAATAAAAGGTCATGCATCTCTTAATAAACAAGTCACCATAATGTTTGCACTACATTTAGACACTTTAATGTACTAAATTTATACTTTGGCCCAGAATTTGCTGCATGAATACCGTAGTTTCAAAGTTAGCCTACCCAATGCTCCAATAAGATGAAAAAATAATTAGAATTTCTAACACTGATTGGAAGTAGCAGATTGAAAATGTATGGCTGATGGATAGTTAAGAATCCAGCGCCAGGGACCCGTGTTCGATTCCACCCTCGGGCAGCTGTCTGTGTGGAGTTTGCGCATTCTCCGCATCTGTGTGGGTTTCTTCCGGTTGTTCTGGTTTCCTCCCACAGTCCAAAGATGTGCAGAGTGGGTGGGGTGGCCATGCGAAATTGCCCATGGTGCCCAGGGATGTTTGGGTTGGGTGGGTTAGACATGGGAAATTAGGGGAATGGATCTGGGTGGGATGCTCTTCGGAGGGGCGGTGTGGATTTGTTGGACCGAATGGCCTGTTTCCACGCTGTAGGCATTCTATGATCTATTCTACAGAAGCAAATAGTGTGGATGCTGGATATCTAAAATAAAAAAATAGAAAATACTGGAAAATCTCAGCAGATCTGTTGGCATCTACTGAGAGAGAAATAGAGTTAACATTCCAAAACTGTTCTGGTTGCAGGTTGCAGACTTAAAATGCTAACTGAGATTTCCTCCTCAACAAATGCTATACTAGTAAATTCTGCTTTTTGAGAATTGAGGTATTACAGCCAAATTGATTTCTCTTTTTTATTTCCATTACAACAATAATATGTTAGTTATCTAAGCCAGAAAAACAACACTGACAGAATGCGAGATGTATAGTTACAGCAAATATTTTGAGTGTAAGTGATTTGTAACTGAATAACAGTTGAAGATTCAATGATACAATTCTTTCTCTCACTTTCCTTCCTTGTCTTTCTTTCTGATGTTAAAATCAATGTGACACCACATAATCTTGTCTTGATGCCACAGTTCATGTATGCTGTGTATCTTTGGTGAGAATATTTGCTTCCAACACCATATTGTGAAGTCTTGCAATAAAGAGGAATTCAAAAGAAAGATGAAGTAGTAATAGTTATTTTGACCAAGGTGGGAGGAGTGGAATGTCTCTGTAGCTTTTGGGCACCATTCCCACCCTGAGTAGGAGATTCCAGAATGTTCCCAGCTTATCCATGGCCATTCACCTACCTATCACTCACTTACGTTCTATCTTTCGTGGGGGTGATAGAAAAAGTATTTAGATTTATGGATAAGCTCATAATCCTCAGCCATCTCAGATGCCTGTTTGGCAGTTGAAGCCTTCTTGTTTTCTATGTGGGGTCTTCCTAAAGAAGGGAGTACAGTTTTAAATTGCTCTAGGAGAAATATGTCCTTAAGGGTCCTATATATGGCCTTTACCCTTAGTGCACCTAACGGTCAAAGTTAATTTGCTTTATGGTCTAAAACTCCAAATATGCGTGTCAGTCTATTTCTAGAGGTTCCAAAATGTCTGCACATAAGCCTCAAGGACCAACTCATGAATACCAGGAGTAGCCTTTTTGCCATCTCATAATTTGGAGAAACATCATCAGAAAGTTTGGCATAAACTTCATGAGTTCATCCAATCAACCTGCTTTGTGTGAGCAGGGTAAATTTAAACAGTGACCAGTTTTCTTTTGGCCACCTTATCTGTTCAACTATCTATCGAAATAAATGTAAAAAACATCAACACCCCTTGCCTTGGGAGGGCGCACAAATTTAAACAGTTACCCAATGGGTCCTGGGCTGGACAGATATATTGCTGCTTCCACGTTTCCATCAGAGTCAAAGATATCCTTCTTTATTAGTTCTAGCATTTTAAACCGGTGTTCTCTTTCTCCTTTCTTATCTTTCTCCTGCCTCTCTTCTTCATTTTGCAATTCTTGTTTCACCTTCCTAGGTCTCTTTCCTTTTCAGGCTCAGGTTTTTTCATTTCCTGTCAAGTTTTCAGATATCTTTTTCCAGTTTTATTGCCAGCTGCTTCATTGGCAATTTAATTCTAGTTAATTCAACTGAAGTATCATCTAAATTGTCTTTTTCTTCTTTGAATTTCAAATGCTGGATTATTACCTCAATTGTGTCTTTTTTTTCCAGCCAATGTAATTATTCCTAGCGCTGGTTAATTTTTGTTAGTCTCCCAGAGATAAAACATCCCTGTCCAGAGAGGTCGTAAAACAGATGAAGCATTGTGGTTTTTAATAATGTGGTTAAATCCTTTTTTGGTATCCATTTTTTGCAATAAGCAAGTCAGCATTCTGTGACAACAAGGTGCAGGGCTGGATGAACACAGCAGGCCAAGCAGCATCATAGGAGCAGAGAGGTTGACGTTTCGGGCCTAGACCCTTCATCAGAAGCATTCTGTGACAGGTTAACATTTATGCAACAAACATTTCCAAGAGTTGCTGGGTTGCAACATTCAATTCTACTGAGTAACAGGGCTTAATGCAATTGCTTATTGCAAGGTTTTCAATAGGTCAATAAGAGCAGTTCGGAATTCACAGAAGACAAGTTCAAAGTCAGTTGGAGTGGGAGACAGAGTTAGAATCTTTGTTAGGCAGTGCTGCTTTTAGCTGTACTACTGGGAGACAACTGAACTACACGAGTTTTGTGTAGTGACGACTTGGAAGTACTCAGAGCTGTGAGAGCTCAGAGAAGCTGTACGCCACTAATAATTGAAAGTGGGTGTTACAAAGCTCACAAAAAGTATTTTCTGGATGCAACTGAGCAAGATTAGAGCTTATGGGAAAGCCAGAACAAGTTTTAGCTTGATTAAACTAGCTGTCGATGAAGAGCTGGAATTATGCTTGTGAGTGACCACTGGAATGCAACTTCAAAGTCCAGGAAAGCGTAGACCCAGAAAAAGAACCTGAATGACCAGAACAGGAGTGTCATTGAGAAATTCCACAGAGTGGCTCTTGAGAGGGTATTTCAAGACCAGATCAACAAATATGAAGAATTACGATTCCTCGTGAAATACAATATCCAACCATGTCATTAACATCAGAGGGGGCAGGGGAGCTAGTTTCTGTGAAATCCATGGGATTAGTTTTGATTGTGTTTGCTATTTGATGTGCACTGTACAGTGTGCAATTATAGTTTATTATCCAATTTTATTGTATATTAATTTTATTAAATGAGTTGACGTATTCTAGTTTGTCATACAGTGAGGCTTATTGTTACTTGTTATCACATTTAAACACACTTTATGGACTCTATATTCAAAAGTTACTGTTCTCTTATCAGATCGTAAATACATTTGATGGCCTGGTCTGCGATTATGACAATAGAAATTGCAAAATTCACTGAAAATCTTAATTAGCCTCAACTTCAGCCAGTCCCAGCACTCATACTTGTCTGTACAATTCAAACCATGCAAGACCCCCAGATATATGTTACAACTAATTTGGGAGGAATGTATTGTTTCTCTGTAGTCCCACCACTCCACAAGTCACAGCACATACTCAATTTTTTTTTTGTCCAATTATCAACATGGGCAAGTATATATTTAACCTGTTGTTTCAGAATAACAATCTGCCAATCAGGTTTCTTTATTAAACAGCAAAACTATTGATTTATTATAAAACAAAACATTTCAATAAAAATGCAAAGTTTATAACTGCGAAGGATAAATATACACAGAATTTAAAGAAAATTTCTCTGCAGAGATCAACTTTATGTCAAGAAACGTACTTTGGCCTAATAACTGTTAATTTGTGAAGAATAAAGGACAGGATATACAATGTTCCAGATGGCTTATGGTCTATCGTCCTGGCACATATAAATGAGTGTCACTAGATATATGCAGCTGTCACTGGGAGCTGTTTAGAAGCAGTCCATTCAGGAGATGTCAGAGGTTTATCAGAAGCTTCCCAATAGCTGTATTCAGCTTCTTCCGTTTTCTCCTTAGATTCTCAGAAGGATTTTCAAAACAGCGTTTTGGGTGACCTCTCCCAGCAGGCTACACAGCAACTAAACTCCAAACTCAACTGACAGCCATAAACTCAGACATGCGGCTTCCAGTAAGCAAGTCCAAGCAGTTAGCTCAAGACACATGACTTTCAGTAACTGTCTTTAAAAAGCAGTTTTTTAGTGGCTTTTCAAAAAATGTTTATACCTCTTCCATTCTTCAAATGAATCAATTATCACAATTCTTTAAACATAAATCATCAAATAAAAATTATAACAAAAGTGCCTTCATGAGAAGCTACTTAAATGAAAATGAAAAGTTGTCCATGAAGCAGTAGTAATCGTTGTGGTATTACTGCCACACTGGCTTGGCAACCATTTATTGTCCATATCATTAGAACATAGAGAGAACATTAGCTAGATAGCATGTTGAGCTGCAAAACGTACTTCTTCACTAATTATGCCGTGCAACTCTAAACTGTCTTTACTTGCTGAGATTCTTGAGTATATTGTCATCTTCCAACGCCATTTAATATGAATCCCTCCAGTGTGCTTTCTGGTCATGTCACAGCATTGGGTCCACCTTAGTCAATGATATGAATGGCATCCTATCTGGCTGTATCTGGTATATTATCTTCACTTATTCTGCTGAAACTTTGTACAGTATTAGACCAGGTTGATTGCTCTGTCTTCCACCGCTTCTCCTTTGTTCAAGTTTATAGAACTACTTGCTCCTACTCTAACATATGGGAGCAGCCAGCACATCTGCAGCAAATGTCTTCTCTTCCATGGAGATTCACTTCTGGGTTCACTAAAGGAATTGTTCACAGTCCTCTGCTTTTATCTATATATTCCCCTTAACAACTTTGCCTATTGATAA